ATGCTGTTAAAGCTTCCTCAAAATGTGTAATGTCTGTTCATATTCTTTCTAGTACTCTTCTTAAGGTGCAGAAGAAGAAGAATCACTATCCAACAAAAGTCTTCGCACTAGTGGGAGGAGAAAGAAACCAGCTATAGGACATGCACCTCTTCGGTGTCAATATACAACTGCCTAATTTCCAGGTTCATTTCCTTCTCTTGGCACATGTAAGAAAGAAATTATTATTTATACTTTCTTGAGATGATTGGGAGTTAAGATTCCGATGGAATTATCACCTTCTTCCAATGTCTCCTAACTAGCTATCAAGCCTTTCTTTTTATAAGCAGCTAGCTATATCTCAAGCCTACCTAACAGCAATGGCTTCAACCACATCAATAAAACAAAGCTAAACGCCATCACTTTCTTCCAGCCTCTCCCTAGTTTGCCAACAAGGTTGCCAAATAGCAATGACTTCAGCCACATCAATAGAACAAGTCTAAACAGCGAAATTTGCTCTCATCACTGAGTTTTCTATTAAAATGCATAATTGGAAAATTATGAAAATTTTCAAGACAGTGTATTAATGTCATCATCCTTAAAAGTTTTATTCGTCACCATTGATAGTGTGTAAAAATATTACAGGTGATAAATTTTGAAAATACAATAAAGTTCAGTAATTGATTACGTTTTGCATTAGCCAAATCAATTCATTAAGTATCCATCGGTGTATGGCAAGATTATCAAATTTTTATAAAATTTTTCTATAGTAAAATGATATAAAAGAAATTTGACGAATATTAAGAAAGAAATGAGATATTGTTATTTGTTATTTATGTATAGTGAGGATAGTTCATATATTGACATGGGTGATATTATGTTTAAAATTTTTACAATTGTTTATTTCCGACCGTCACAATTGTTCTTTATATCCTTCTCTTATTATTATTATTAAAAATGTCCAACACTTTCTAGATGAGACTTTACAAATTGCAAATTATAATATTATGATGTAAAGCATAAAAATTTTTAAATTATATAATAAGATATAATTTTTTTCATATCAAATCAAAAAATACCCTTTTCCCTATGGTGGGGAGCACTGATTTAAATTAATAAAGAATAAAAAGACATTTTAGTCATTTCATAATCTTGTTGAGGGTGTTTATATTTTTAAAACTAAGTGTCCATTTTAAAAACTAAAACCTATATAGAATTTCGATTAAAACTTAAAGATATGGAGGTATTTTTCCCAAACATTAATGAATTTATGATTGTTATATTTCTAAGTTCAAATCCCAACATTCACACACAATTACTATTTATAAAGGTCTACCAAAATTCATGCAAAATCTCATCATATTTGCCACCAAAGCAGCGAAAACAAACCCACATCATCTCCATTTTTGTTCGTTGCTTTTACGAGCATGTCTTCGCTGCCTTCTGTAAACCCAAGTTGACGTTGATAACTTTGTGTGTCCACCGTCTGATAAACCTCCTGCCTCCTCCACCGTCCTGTTTCTTGGTGGTGCAGGTTTTTGGTTTTTATCTGAGACTATCTTTCTCGAGGTTTCATTATCAAATAGATTTTTTGCTAATACCAGATTACGTAGGTGTTAGAGATTTGTACATCGATGGCAACTTCAAGAAATTTACAGCCATAGGGGTGTATTGGGAGCTTAATACCGTGCCATTACTTGCTGCTAAGTGGAGGGGAAAGACTGCCCAAGAGTTGATGGATTCGGTCAAATTCTTCAGAGACATCGTCACAGGTATACTTTTGATATTATCCTTTTTAAATGCTTAATTATTTTGAATTTTTCTTGACATGATGCAAAAAAAATTATTAAATTATTATTAAAATGCTTAATTATTCGGTCAAATTCTTTAGAGACATCCATAATCTTTATATAATATATTATTTTCATTTGTGATTTTTAAAACTTAAATTTTGAATCTATGACTTTTTAAAAGTATTTTAAATTTCATAACTTATTTCATCAATTGCAATAAAAATTTGATAAAATATGTTATGTCAACGCCATATGGATGTTTACATAGTAAAAATATGTGAGTTTGAACCCTTTAACATTCACGTACCAAAAGAAAAAAAAACTGGATACGCTTGCTTGATGTTTTGAATTGGAATCTATGCCATGTGAACGTCTGCAAAGCACGGATATGACATATTCTATTAATTTTTAGTAGTGATTTGACAAAATAGATAGATTTAGATTAATTTTAAAAATTATAAATTTAAAAATTCAATTTTAAAGATTACAAGTGAAAATAAAATATTTTATAAAAATCAGAAATGATTGTTTTCATTATTCTTTAATGAAATCAAGAAATATTGTTTCGAAAAATTAAGAAGATAAAAATCTAATTATTATATTCTTCATCTCTGCAGATCACTTTTTCCAAAGATGTGTGCATACCCGAAGTTGGAAATACAATGATAGAAACTAAGCAACTATGCGACACAGCTTTAGAGACTACGGTATGTAAGAACGGTGTCTCTCCTGCTGCAAGGTGGAGCTTGGCTTCGAGGTTATATGAATTAATGCTGAAAGAGAGTGATGATCAAAAGGGTGTAGAAGGCAAAGAGGATTGAGCACAAGGCAAAAACCAGAAGCATTCATGGCTTTTATATTTGCCTAGAATTATACGGCAAAGCTTGATTCTAAAATTTATGCCATTGATTCAATCAATAACACATTACCTGCTGGATATATATATCAATCACTATATAACATCGGCAGCACCATCAATCTCTTCACTCAGAAACAAACATGGAAGCTGGTCTCAGGCATCTATATATACCAACCCAAAGATTGGTTCATACACCAGTGAGTCAGCCAATGCGGTTGGAAGGGTTCTTAACCCATATTCTATTCCATGGAAGTTGGGTTTATTGACGTTGCTTGTTGAGCATGTTTGTTTCCAGATTAAGAGTTGGCAAATCCAACTAGGGTAAGGTGACAAATCGAACAAAGAGAATTTGTTTTTCCCTGTATGGTGCTCATTTCAAGAGAGTATGAAGCAAACGATATCATCAATCATAACTTAAGGATAACTCTAATTTTCATGCTGTTCCTAAGATATAACAATCTGGAGTTTGCTTGCACATAACTTTACCAAAGTAATGTGAGTATAAATCAATTATTATAGGTCATAGTTGAAATCACTTGTAGTAGTGATACATATCAGGTAAAGGTGGTGATTTAGTCGTAGCATAGTAATAAAAAAGACAGATCCATTTAGTTTCATTTTTGACAGAAAATACTCCAACAACAGCTACATGCACTCTTCAAGCAGAGTCTTCAATCTCTCACCCAGTCTCGAACTTTCATTGCCAATCCTAGAACAAATAGCCTGTAAAAAGAATTGATAGTGTGAATTTAGCACTAAAAGGCATGCATGAAATAGAACACTTATTGTGTTGATCATCAAGCATTCACGAATGTAATAAAGATTTTGGAACAGAAACGAAAAGTTGATTGTCGTAAAGGGGTAATTAACTATGAGTAAAAGATGCATAAATTAAGGTTGCTGAAACCCTAATTCACCATGTACCACTGTATTTCCATAGTGTTAAACTATGTAGCTGAGTAATGAAGTCGACATAGCATTCAAAAGTTCAATTTATCACTACCCATGGGAGGAAAATGCATGCTGATGCTTTTGGTTCAAGAGCCCTAAATCCTTTAAAAATAATTTACCTGACAATGAACTGAAAGGATGTTCATAGTCTCGCCTGCATTATTATATGTAACACCTATAACTGCAGCTCCTTCTTCCTCAATGACACTGATAATCTCACTTAGTGTAAACTTCATGTTCGACCCTGTAATCAAATTTACTCTCGTAGTAGAATTAGAATCTATTATATCTAGAACTGGGGATATCGTCTTCCTTGTCACTCTACAAACTGCTTCACTCTCCCCTTCCAGTTGCATCTTCCTTTTCTTGATTTCCTCCAGCTGTCTTTGTAATTGCTTTACATATATGGTGGCTAGCTCCACCATGTCTGGAATCGACATCTACAAGAATCCATGCATATTTCCATATGGTTAATGCAAAATCCATATGCATTTCATGTTAGAGCAAAGATAAGGACATCAATGGTTAGAAAACAAAGAGAAGGAGACAATAGAAAGAAAGAGAGAGATGATCAAGTTACCTCGGTTGGCTGAGGAGGAAGTAGAGGAAAGAGCCTGGATAAGAGATTTCTCATGTTCAATCTTCGTTCTCTTTCTATGGAATTTCGATCCATTTCTTCCTGATAATGAGCTATCCTACGATCCAGGGCTTGCTATTTCTTTAGGTCTTGTATTAATTTGTACTCAATTCAAGCCCGTAAAACGCGGAACATGAAGTCATCAGATCGTGACAAGGCCATAGCTTGTTTATACAGAAAGCGTTTTCTGTTTACTTATAGAAAACAACTGCATGTGCAGCAATGGAGAATTAAGTGCATGCTAAATTTCAAACACATCCAGCTTTGCAAGTTTGGGTTTACATTAGTCATTTTAACTTATTTATATAAAAAAACAAAGAAAATGAAAAAAACGTTGTAAAGGGTCCAATAATTCTAAAAAGATGGACAAAAAGCATCTATAAAGGTGTTTGTTTTCTTGCATATAGGTCAACGGGCAGTAAAGCCTTAAACGGCCGCCGACAGCGGCGACGAGTAGGCTTTTCAAAAAATAAATAGCAATGCGTACGTACACATGGAAAGGCATTTTCACATTTAAGAGTTTTTTAATCTAAATGAAAATTGGACTATACAATGAAAAGAAATATTTTTTCGTCCCGTAAGTCACGTCTCTTTTATCCTAGACTTTTAATTCAAAATTAATCTCGAATTCTAATCTTTAATAAAAATATTTTTATTAGTATCACTAAAAGAAGTATACAGTGAGTTCAACGAATAAGGTGGGAATGAACTGCTGATATAGTTGAAGAAAACGTAAATAGGGGGTGCATAAAGAGTGCACAACAGAATCTATCCATCCTGGGCTCCTAAGTGCATAACCAAATCGACACATGGCCTAGAAGAGTTACACATCAACTATCAGCCACCAGACAGGAATAAAGTTACATAGAACAAATGCACCTGGGAAAGAATTTGGGCTAGCCGAGAGCACTGAACACTGATGAAGAGGAGAAGGAACACCTCTGCCAGAGATGGTTGGTACTAACCTTCATATAACTCCATACATGGCCAATGAGTCGGCGAACAAGTTACCTTCTTTGAAAATGTGATAAAAAGTTATCGAAAGGGATAATTGCACTGAGTCGATCTCGTTGAAGATGTGCCATTTGTACATACGACATGAGGAAGCACAAAAGGTGGTGAGAATTTAATCTTGAATCTCAATCTTCTTAAAGAGGATAACGACCATTCAATCGAGCTTGGATTTATTAATTGGGTGGTTTTTGGCATTGCGTAATGATGCACCCAAAACAAGATAAAATGTAATATCTTTATTGAAAACATTAAGAATAATTCAACAAGAGAAAAAACATAAAGCATAGTGAACTATGTAAGAAAATTCAAATAAACCATTATTCTTTTATTATTTTCAATTAAACTTCTTTACTTTTATTTTGCATCATATCTTATGAGTAATAATTAACTAATTGTTATTAATCAAAATGTCACTTATCATTTTATCTTCACATGACTCTGACGTGACGTTGATATGGAGGGTGAAAAATATTATATGACTACATCATCATACTATATCATCATCTGTTATAACATGTTAGAATGCATACATTAGTGTTGCATGACATAGAATAACAATAGGTAATTTGACTAAGTCAACCATTAGTTATAAAGATTTTATTAGAAATAAAAATATAAAAATTTGATTGAATGCAATAAAAGAATAATAGCTTATTTGTATTTTCATCAATAGTTGTGAAACTCGTTTAAATATTACATCAAAACATAAAGAATCATAAGTTACTTGTCAATTATTCTATTCAATGTGAGAATATTTCAGTAAATAACACTTAATTTAAATTATGTTAGGACACTTAATTAATAGCATAAAACCCATTTGCTTATAAGCAATTTTTCCACGGCATGTTTTCATCATTTAAAGATGCCACACATCATGGAATCAATTATAACATTGTCAAACCCTCACAATATCGTCCTTATATCATTAATTCTTAGCTTGGGTTTACTTGGTCTTACAATTGGAAAAACAAGTCAAACCTTGAATTCCGGAATATATGAAATATGAGTCATTCATACAATCCTTACATTACCCATTTATTTCACCTCATATTGCCACTTGGATAACTCAAGTCCTATGCTTAATTCCTTATTTATAACTCTGTTGAGAAGTATGCTTAAATGACTATTAAACATGACAATTCATATTTGATGTTTTAATCTTTTCTCGCAATTATAGAGTGTTAATAATTGTAAAGGTAAATAAGAATACGAAACGATTAATTAAATTTGTCAATATTTTAAACATGAATGCAAATACATTCATTAAATCTATAATATGTTTACTATACAAATTAAGTTAAATTTTATATGACATGATACGATTTATAATATGTTTAAATGATAAACATGATTATTATAATTATTTTTTAAAAAATATAATTATCACAATTAAATTAAAATACATATAATTACAAATGAAATATAACTTCGAGGAATAGTAGTATGCTTGTGTCATTTTGCATGTTTTCTATGCCCTTTCGCTTCCTTAAAACAATGCTTCCATCAACATCATTAATAGCTCTTTTGAGAAGTGTGCTTCGAAAGTAAAACTACAAATGAGTATACATCAACATCATTTTCTAGAATTTATTAGGATTTTCAGTTCAAGGGGATAAAAGTTTTATATATTATGAAGTTTAAATTTTTTTTTAAAGATACATAATGGAATCATATAAAATACTATATTGAATAATCAGATTATAGTAAGCACACGTTAAAGGAAAATCATAATATTAAAATTTTTATTATTTAAAGAAAATAAAATGATTTTTTATCCTATAAAAATCATTTGTAATTATTAATACATTAAATTTATTAACATTTTTTTTCAATATAAACAACTAGTACAAAGAGTCTATGATTTAAATATAAGTTTTATATTTGATGCATTGATAATATATATATTACTAGGTCATCAAATAGTGATACCTTTTTAAAAAAGTTATACACCGCAGCAAATACAAACCTTTAAATATTTGACTTGAATATGTGAAATTAAAGATTAATAAATTAGAGGTTAATGCAGATTATTACAAAAGCTTGCCTTAGTCGGGGCATTCTTTTTAGGAAATCTTCAAATCTTATGGTTCCTTGTGCAATAAAAATTTATTAATAAAGGTTTAGTGTTTTAGGAAAAAAATATTATTTAATAATAATACTTAAGAGAGCAAAAAAAATTATTAATAAAGTTTTAATGATTCAAAAAATTATAATTTATTAATAAAGTGCAACCTTTAGTTGGTTGCCACGGCAGTCACCTCAGCATGATAGTAAAATTGGAGTTTTTTTTTTAAACATAATATCTAAAAAAACCTTTAAATTATTCAAAAAAATTCATATAGGTTTTTATTTTTTCCGACATTTAATCACGTACTTACACTTTATTTTAACTGAAATAGGCTATTGTACTTTTATTTTAAGTGTTTGGTTAGTTTGACTTTTTTTCAGCTTATCTATTTTTTAAAAACAAAAGCCAAACCAAACATAAATTTTAAAAAGCTCTTAAAAAAAGTAACTTATTTTTAAAGAATAAAATTTTTAAAAAAAGAGTTTCAGGAAAAGCTCTTATGAGGAGCTTTTTCTTCTCTTTTTTTTTTAAAATACAGGAGAATTTTTATTTTTATTTCAAAAATATTCTCATTTGTTAAAAATAATTATAATATTATCCTCTTAAAAAAAATATTCTTTATAATAATTTTAACCAAAATTAAAACTTATGAAAAAGAACTTATAAAAAAAATTTACCAAATAATTTTAGCTTAATTTTAAAAACTATAATTTTTCATAAGAACTTCACAATAGCTTTTAAACTAAAAAAAATCTAGGTCAAACAGACCCTAAATCAAATAAGCTTTATAACTAATAGTTAATTTAGTTTAAATATCACTTCTCATTCTATGCTACGTGATGTTAATGTAGTATTGAGGTGACATGTTAACATGTCAAAATGGATCATGATATAATATATTGATATGTCATAATGACATGATCATATTACATTTTTCACTATCCATATCAACATCATGCCAATGTCATGTGAGTATAAAATGATAAAGAGTATTTTGATTAATGACAATTAATCAACCATTAATTATAAAGGTTTATATAATCTAAAATAAAAATACGAGGGTTTAATTGAATACAATAAAAGAAAAAAAACTTATTTAAATTTTCTTAAATTTAAAAGAATAAAAACATAACGTTCAAAGAAGTCCATTTTTTCCATCAATTTCTTTTATTTTAATTTTAATTGAGTATTATTTAGTCTTCATTTTTTTCCTTTTTTTTTTTGGTTTGGCTAATTTTTATTTTATTTTATTTTCTTTCCCTTCTTTGTTTTACTAGCATAAACAAAACCAATAACAAGATTTCTGAAATGGGTATTTTTTATTTTTTTATTATTATTTTGTGTTTGTTTTGGGGTTTTTGTGTTGTACACCAGCTTCAAATAGGTCAAGGAGCACCGTTTAACTTGCTTCTTGGATCTTGGGATGACATATCTTGCACTATATAAAGCCATAATATAGTTTTATTCTATTCTATGTTATCCTTGACTTGAGATGAAAATTGTTTGCTAAGTTTGTTTTCAATCTTGCCCGTCTCTTTCGTGTAGACATGAACACCATTGTTTTTAATTTTATTATCAGTCGAAAATGGTTTCTTCTTTTATATCGGGACCATTGTTTGATTCTTGCTTACCCAAATTTTTGATAATGGACTCTTGAGAAAATCTTGGTATTTACCCCACATTTGTTTAAGGCACTTCACATGTAAGAACATATTCTTTGAACCAAGCATTAGATAGTGAAAAAAGGTTTTCTTTTTTAAATCTAACATCCATTCGACTTGATCCAATTAATTTGGTTTATTAATTATCTTTCTATTGAGTTTTAATTATAAAATGTATTTAAAAATATTAAAATCAAATAATAGTTAATTTGGTGATTGAGTCTGACTTGACTTTAAAATGAAAAATTCGATAAATTCAGTCTGATCTATAAATACTTATAATATAAATTAATAACATTTTGTTGCATAAAAGAGAAGGAAAAATAAACATTTTTTTATCTTAAATACTATACTATTTAAATGTTTT